GGGACACATCGAGTGGCTGCCACCCACACGACCAACCAGGGCCGGGGACAAACTGCAACCGAAGTACGTGCCCTTAGCGGGAACCGAACCCGGGTCTCTCAAGACCGCAGGCCGACGCTCTAACCGCTGAGCCAAACCGGGCAGGGCTCCTTCTTATTTTTAATCAGGGCCAACCTGAGGCAAAATGATTAAGTAAATGAAAAACGCCTTAAAAAACAAAAAAGCTATTTGCCCATAGCCACCTGTGGGCCCTTTCTGAGAATGTTTACGCTCTGTCTCAGAGTAGGAAGTGGGGAATGGCCAGGAATTTCAGGGAGGTTATTGGAGCCTCCAGATGCTGGTTGAGGAGTTGGGCCTGTGAACTTACCTTCCACGTGACCCAACAAGCTCCATTTTCAATGTCCACCTGGACCTGAGACCGCTGTGGATCCCAGCAAAGGGGGGAAATGAAGACAAAGGGACACATATGCCCCCACCCCCACCTTAAAGAGCAGGATTGGAGTCTTTCCTGTTTCCGGTTTCACCCGGCCCGGGATTGGTGGAGCTGGCTGTCCGTCAGGGCTGCCTGAGGGGCTGCTAGGGCTAGACTCACAGGCTGCACCCAGGAAGCTGACTGGGGCAGACCAGGGGCAGCTGTCTCACCCCCTTTCACAGCCCCACCCACCCTGGGAGACTCTGACTCCCCACCTGTCTTGGGGACCACTGGTGCCCTCCCCGGTCATGCCACAGCAAGTGCCCAGGAGATGTCTGCTGAAGCCACATGAAATCTTTAGTCACTAGACAGGACCATGGGAGGGAAGTGTTTGGGGCCCAACCCCCTACCACCCAGGAGATCTTCGGTGTCAGAGTGCTTCTTATTTTGGCTGTCCTCCTACAGGGACACACAGAGGAGCCAGCGGGGCAGGGAGGCCTGGCCAGTGCCAGCCTTGGGATTCAGATGTCCAGTGCCAATCCTAGCTATGCGTTTACCAGCGAGGTGACCTTTGGCATTCTTTCTGACTCAGATTTCTCCACCTGTAAAGCAGGGGTGTTGAGAAACTGAAAAGAAACGATATAGGGCAAACCCAGCTTATGGCTGATGTTCAATAACAGTTGGCCATGATTTCGGTTCTAGCTCAGGAAACCTAAGAACAGCAATCTGTAGAAAGTCTTCAGTGGAAGTAGAAGGCCAGTGTCAAAGTTCAACATTTCAGAACACGCCGGCCCGATTCGCCCAGCTGTTTTAATTTATGTTTCAGGAATGCCAGGCTCTCTTCTTGGCTCTGCTTTGGAGACAGAAACATACATGTTTCGTGCCAAAATGGATTCTGAGGTCATAATCCAACCCTTCATTTTATAGATGGGGCACATGAGGCCACCAGAATAGAAATGACTTGGCCAGATCTGCCCAAGAAATCTGAAGACAGTACTAGGACCGGAACCCAGCATTCTTGTTTCCCGGACAACTGCTATTAGATTCCTGTCCGCCACCAGCTGTGTCTGCAATTTAGCATGTGTGCAAAATCCCTTCAACTGAAAATGCTAGCAAGACGTGCAGCTCTTGTGTTTAATTCTTTTCCTTTCCCCAGCAGAAGGTCATAGTCACGTAAAACAATGAGCCAGAATGTCTCTCTCTCTCTCTGTCACACTTTTTTTTTTTTTGGATTTGGCTCTAAATCTAGAAAACAGCGTGAAGACACCAGGGTAGATCTTCCAGCCTCTAAACATCAGGACTGGTTTGTGTAGTCGACGTGCCCCCCCTGGTGGAATAAGTGAAGATGACAGGCAGGAAATGAAAGAGTTACCGCCTGGAGGGGTCCAAAACTGGCTGCCATGACTCAGCCTCCCTTATCTCGCCCTAATCCCAGCACTGTCCGATCTTGTCTTTATTTAAGATTTCCATAGCTTGTTCGTCACAGAGATTTTTGCATTCACTTCAGTGTGTTAAAATATTACACATATTGATTACTGAGGTGTGTGGCGCCCCTTAGGTGAGTGCCTCATTTCCTCCCCTGGTCACAGTCCGAATCCAGCTGTCAGCACTGGAGGACCCTCCCAGATGTATGGTGTGCAACCCCCCTCACCTGTCCCATGAGCCAGGAGGCCCGGCAAGAGCCTGGCTGGTGTGTCAGGACAGCAGGCCTGACCGACACTCTGTGCACCTTGACAACCAGACTGCGGCTGCCCCAGGCTTCCTCCAGAGGGGTTGGTGACAGGGTCTCCTTGCTCTAACGCTAGCCAGGCTCTTCTGAGCCCTCTTGACTAGGCCTGTCGACCTTGGCTTGGAAAGACTAGAACAAACACACAGTTTCTAACAGCTCAAGGCTGCATCCCTAGGATGACCCAACCTCCCTCCCTGTGGCTGCCTGCAAACCCACCAAGTCAGCCAGAAGAAGGTATAGTCTGTTCTCAGCAACATCCGATGATAGGCGGCCCCCAGTGTCTGTGGGAGGGAGGAGCTTGTTTGAGAAGAGTCAATTAGTAAACACTGTGCTTTCACATGGACCACCCCCTTCCTGTCTTTTGTAAGTTTTCACTTTCCTGACTCCACAGGGCGCCACCCCCTCTCCCTGTTCCCTCATTCTCCCTATAAAACATGCAGTCACCTTTGTACACGCATGGTACACTCTTTTCCCTATATACAGGGTGGGGCAAAAGTAGGTTTACATGTGTTCATATGGAAAATAATACAATAATCAGTCAATAATAATATGAGAATAAACTGTTTCGTGGACTCAGAACTGTAAACCTACTTTTGCCCCACCCTGTATTATTACAATGTATATATTGTATATTCCTTATATACTGTTGCCATAGTATACTACTGATTAAAATCTGACCTTACTACTTTAGTGTGGAGCTTAGTTTATCTTTGACAACAGCTGCCATTCAATGTGTGTCCCTTGCGAGAAAAGACCCTGGTGGCAAGAGCAACTTGATTGTACGACGGTGCCCTGGGCTGGGGCCCTTCATCAGTGCTCGGCCTAAAGGTAGGCCCTGTGTGCCGAGGCTGGGTGTGGGGCTGGTCCCCCAGTCTACCTGAAAAGGCCATCTTCTTGGGACATCGTTTGGGCCTCCACCCCGCATCCCCTGAGGACTCCAGTGGCTCACCAAGGAGGCAGCCACCCGTGCCATCAGCTGGTTACCAGAGACCCCCTGAACTGTGTCACCTGCTCTGCCCACCTGCCACAAACCCTGCACCCCCATCTCATCACCTCGAGCAGCCCTGGACCACATCCAAGGGAGACAAGACCCCAGCCCTGGTTCTTGCAAGGTTCTGTCTCCATCCGCTCCCCCCACATTGGATGTTGGCTATCCCCCATCACCCCACCAACCTGGGATTCCCTGGCAGTGGGCAAAGGGAAGGGGTTTAGGTCAGCCCGGAAGTGGCATCCACAGAGCTCCAGGGTCCTATTGATCTCGCTCGGGCTGGATTTATTACCCAGGCTCAAAACGGTTAAGTTCCCTGCCTTCAGATGCCTACATCCCTGGAGGAAGGAAGAGGAAGTGGTTAAATAAGAAAAAGCGAAAAGAACTGTTCACAAAGATTCCTGCCCAAACTCAGATGCTGGCAGAACCAGACCTACACATGAATCCATTTGGTCCCAGACCCCTCCCTGGGTTTCTCGGACCCTTGCTGACCCCATACTTCTTGTGGCCCATTGTGATGGAGTCATTTTAAATAAACCTCATTTTATTTATGGAGGGGGCCACCCCTTCCAAGACCACCCCAGGCAGTGCTCCTGTTCCTGGGGGCCCCACTGGCTTCTCCTCTGCAGCTAGAGGTTGGAGAGAGCAATCTGCCAGGAAGCTAGGGCTCCAGCAATGGGCCTGTGGGGCCCTCCCCCCACCAGCCGCTTTGTACTGTGGCTTCTTGTCCCTTGGATCCCTGCACATCAGAAGCCCTTGGGGGCAGGGACAAGACTCATGTACATGCTCCCACCCTCTGAGACCTGTGCTTCCCAGGCACTGGGGATATCCTGGTGCAACTCACTGACTGAGAAACGGGCCTGCAGGTGATTTGTAACTAATAACAAAGTGCTCAAGGGTGCCACGGACCTGACTCAGGCCTGGAGCAGATTCAGGGTGATCCCTATATTGATAGCAGGCTCACCCTTGCCTCCAGACAAGCTCTCTTGAGCGGAATGAACTCCGCCACAGCCTGTGAGGTTCTGAATAATCTTCCAGCCCCTCACCTCATGCCTCCTGGCTCTTTGTCACTTCCCTCCATCCCTCTGGCCTTTGGTCAGTTCCTCAGCTCTGCCAAGCTCTCTCCAAAGTCAAGGCCTTTACACTTGCAGCTCCTGCCAGGAAATCCCCTCCCCCAGCCCTCCAAATGGCTCTCTCCTGCTTCAATGCTCAGCTTAAAAATTAACCTCTTCCCTGCCCAGCGGGCCTGTGTGGCTCAGTGTGTTGAGTGTCATCCACGGAATGAGGGGTCTGGGTTTGATTCCTGGTCAGGGCACATGCCCGGGTTTCGGGCTTGATCCCCAGTAGGGGGCGTGCAAGAGGCAGCTGATCGATGTTTCTATCTCTCCTTTCCTCTCTCTCTCAAAAACCAAAACATATTTTTTTTAAAAAATTAACCTCTTCCGGGTACTGATTTGCAAGGGACTTAGAGAGCCTTGGGTAGTTGAGGGGCGGGGATGTTCCGTTGCTAATCTACACCAAGGTTACAAAGTGTGTACTGTGTAACAATTCACTGAGCTGTCCATTGAAGACATGCTGACTTGACTGCATATCAGTAAACCTACAAAGGTGGGATGCAAAACAAATTTCCACCTCTTCCCTGTCTCCTGTTATTCTGTTACTCTTGACCACTGCATGTGCGTCTCCATCTTGCCACCTTATTACAGTATTTGTTTGTTTATTTGTAAAGTGTATCTCCCACTAGGATGTAAGCCCATGAGGCCAGATCCTCCGTCTGTCTAGTTCACTGCGGTGCCTTCCAGAGTGTAGCATGGTGCCTGTCACACACTAGGTACGAAAACAAACATTAGTGACTGGATAAATGGGAGGATGAATAAAAAGCTTGGATTTAATGATGGAGAAACGGGGGCAGAGGAGGTGAGCCTGAGTCCAAAGGCCCCCGACTCCCAGCCCCAGCGGACAGTTTAGGGGTCTTGCTCTGTAAGCACAAGTCCAGGAGCGTGGCCTGTCCCTGGAGACCCAGTGCCAGCCTGTCTACACCTCGTTGGGGTCGTTCTGGTCGGCGTAGATGAGAAAGCCCGTGAAGAGGCTGTCGGTCCAGTAAGGGTCGTAGAAGAGCCCATTCTGCTCGGAGTAGAAGATCTGCAGCCAGACCTCATCGCCCTGCTTGAGAGCCAGGATGGTGGAGCCCGAGGCCACGTCGTGGTTGCCCGTGTTGGCGTCGAAGGTCCGGATGCGGTACTGGCCATTGTGCACCAGGCCGATGGCCAGGTGCTTGTTGGCCAGCGTGATGTCGTAGGTGAAGTAGTAGATCCCGGGCACGCTGCAGACGAACTTGCCGCTGGATGCGTTGTAGTGACCGCCCTCGTTCATCAGGATCTTGTCGAACTTGATGGGCAGCCGTTCCCGTGGGTAGCTCTTGGTCACCGCCACCGAGAAGGCTGACTTGGCCTGGCCACTGCCACAGCTGCAGGGGCCGGGCAGGCCCGGCTCCCCCTTCTTGCCCTTGGGCCCCTTCTTGCCCGGTATGCCGTGCTTCCCTGGGGCACCACTCACACCTTTGGGACCTCGAGGGCCAGCCTGCCCAATGGCCCCAGCTTTGCCCTTTGGTCCTGGCTTTCCCCGGTTTCCTGTCCGGCCAGGTGGACCTGGAAGACAGAGCAGCTGGTGTCATAAGGGGCCCTCAGAGAACTGGGCAGAGGCTGTGGGCCTGGGCTTTCCGTCTTTGGAGCACAGGCCTCTGGGAAATGGGAAGGACAGGAGGGCTTTGGAGCCACCTGGAAATGCGTGCGAACCCTAGTCGTGCAACCTGGAGCATGTGTCCCCGTCCTGTCTGGATCCAGGCATGGTGACACCTACCTTCCAGAAGCACTGCGCAGCAGGGCAAAAAAAAAAAAAGTAACAATCCACAGCCTTTCCTTTTCCTGCCTTCTGAGGAAGAGTCTGGTTTGTCTGCCAGAACAATCCTTCCACGGGCTATGCTGATCATGGGTTGACAAGAGAATTGGAAGAAGCCTCTTGACCTCAAAACATTGATCTGAGTGAAACCCCTGCCTAGTGCCCAGATCCCTGCCCACACGTGCAAGGATGTTTAGGGCAGCGTTGCTTACAACAGCAAACACTAGAAACAACTAACTGCCCATCCAGGGGGAAATGATTGAAAAATGATGATCCATCCACAATGTGCAATTCTAGGCAGGGTTATTTTTGTGTGTTGGCTGGTTTTTCTTTTTTTTTTTAATCCTCACCCGAGGATATTTTTCCATTTTTTGTACAGATAGAGTGGGAGGGAGAGAGAGGAAGGAGAGAGAGAGAGAAACATCAACGTGAAGGGACACATCGAGTGGCTGCCACCCGCACGACCAACCAGGGCCGGGGACAAACTGCAACTGAAGTACGTGCCCTTAGCGGGAACCGAACCCGGGTCTCTCCGGACCGCAGGCCGACGCTCTAACCACTGAGCCAAACTGGCCAGGGCGGCTGGTTTTTCTTTATTGGTTTTAGAGAGAGAGGACGGTAGAGGGAGAGAGATAGAAACATCGATGAGAGAGAACATCAAATGGCGCCTCCTGCATGCCCCCCACTGGGGATCAGGCCCACAACCTGGGCATGTGCCCTGACTGGGAATCGAACTGGCGACCTCTTAGTGCATGGGTCGACGCTCAACCACTGAGCCACTCCAGCCGGGCTATGCAGGCATTTTTAAAAATGAGGCAGACTTGTGTGCACTATATGAGCACTTCTCTAACATATCCTGGTAAGAGGAAACAGAAGGTGGCAGAACTGTTATTTTGTTCAAAGGAAACCACAACGCTGTTTCTGTGCTCATGTAGGTGCACAGAAGAGTGTCTGCCCTGCCGTAAGCACACACGGAACACACTCGGCCAACCCTGCGAGCATTTCCTGTGGAACACCTCATTTTTAATGCCCACATTCGATAAAATGTGCATTTCTCTCAATGTAACATTTTTGGCCAATGATTATATGGAAAACATTTATATTCATGTCCCATAAACTCAATACAACATTTTAAACATATTACGGATAAAGACTTGAGCCGCATCCACACACAATTGTACAACTGGTGCCATTGGGGGACCGGCAGACTTGTACAGGTGTTTGGAAAAGCCTGTTGAATGCCAACTGCGGAGCCTGCTTCTGGAGGCTGTTGGTGCTAAGAAACATTCCAGCGTCACTGCACACAAGGCAGCTCTTTGTGAACCACCACATAAATGGGGCGATCAGAAAGTAATGTAGGCAGCCCTAGCCGGGTTGGCTCAGCGGTTGGAACATCGGCCTGTGGACTAGAGAGTCCAGAGTTCGGTTCCTGCTAGGGGCATATACAAAAAAAAAAAAAAAAGAAAGTAATGTAGGCATTTTACACCCCAACAAGACACTTCGCTTCTTATATGTATATATGGAGGCATTGTGCTGTTTCAGCATTTTGAGCTAATGTGTAATGCATTGAAATTTTCCGTATTTTGAGGAAGTGAAGTAGATTCCCTCGTAGTATTTTCTCACTGAACATCTAACTTTCAGGAACGCATTGCTTACACTGAGTGCCCGGCAGTGCCTGGTATTGTTATACACTAGGTGAGTACGTAGAACAGGCCAGGAAATGTACACGTGACCAGTTGTCAGTGTCTACCTCTGGAGGGTGAGGGGAGGGTAAGAAGGGGTAGGTATTAAGGAGGACTCTTGCTTTATGTGTGTTGTTTGAATTTATCACAATGGGAATGTGTTTGTGGATTGTTTATGTAAGGTGGTCGGAGAGTCACCTGTGCACTGAAGGGTTGCAGGTTCGATTCCCAGTCAGGACACTTGCTGGGGTTTCCAGGTTGATCCCCAGGAGGGGGCATGCAGGAGGCAGCCAATGTTTCTCTCCCTCTCTCCCTTTCTCTCTCTTAAAATCTTTAAAATAAATCAATAAAGAAAAGGAAAACTAAAACTAAGAAAAGTCACAAAGCTGTTCCTTAAAAAAAAAAGAAAACAAGCAAGAGGTGGAAGAAGAGGAGGAGTAAAGAGAGTCCTTTCGGCCCTGGCCGGTTTGGCTCAGCCGTTGGAGCCTCGGCCCATGGACCAGAGAGTCCTGGCTTCGGTTCCCGCTAAGGGCACGTACCTTGGTTGCAGTTTGTCCCCGGATTGGGGTCGTGTGGGTGGCAGCCACTCGATGTGTCTCTCTCACATCGATGTTTTTCTCCCTCTCCCTCCCATTCTATCTGAAGATTAAAGCAAAAAACAAACAAACAAAATGATAAAGAGAGTCTTTTTGGATTTAAGGTTTTGGGGGGTGACAAATATGGAAGCTCATTGGGAAGTTTCTACCACTTATTATGTGATGTGCTTCCAAACAAATTTCAGGAAAAGCTGACCACTTTTCAAGACCTTTCTGGAGATGGGTTTACACACGTCTGTCGGGGGCAGGTGGTTGGTGGTTGTCCTGTACCATGACTGGTCCCAGCGTGACCCGGCTTTGTCTGGGTTACACATGTTGGGGCTCCCACCTCTCAACCTTGGTGTGTTGGATTCATTCTCGGCGAATATCTAACACATGGCAGGAGAGATAGCCAAAAGCAGCCCAAGCCTACATCCTCAGAGCTCTTGATCAAGAGGGAAAAGTCAAAAGCAGAAAGACCTTTCTTCTCCAAGGATTCCCAGGGTGACAGTCAGGAGAAACTCCAGCTGGCCCTGTGTGAAGCCCATGTCCAGACCCAAACCCACCACTGTGGTCAGGAAATGGGATAACGCTTTGTCAATGTTAAAATGCCATACAAATAAAAGTTATGATTTCCCTACTGCTTAAAATACACATTTTGGAGTGCTGCTGACCCTGGAGGGTTTGTGGTTACAGGGGTGCCAGTTCAGAGATAGAAGGACAGTCAAGGCCGCAAGGGCCTGTAGCCAGCATCCAGTGCGTTTGCTGGCTGCCTGGTGCCCTTTCCTTCGGGGAGCTGCCCAGCACTACTCCGTGGTCCCAGTGAGGCTGTCGCCTACAGTGACCAACAGCCCTCACCACCCAATCACGCACCAGGGGAGGGCAGAAGACCCAGTTCTAGCAAATGGTACTACCTCACGTCCATGGCCAAAAGCATGGGTCCAGGATGCACACGTCATCACGGAGGATCAGTCATCCTGAGATGTGCTCTATGATTCAAACCATGAAGAGGAAGGCTTGAGCCCACCAGTGGCCATTTCAGAACTCCTAGCCTTTGTGAGAACAAAACCAACACACAGAGAAGCAGAGCCTTGACAACAATATTTCAGTGCCTGGATCAAGCCGTTCCTGAAGCTTAACTTTTGGACTTCTCAGTTGCATGAGCCAATAGATTCCATTTGGGGCTATAACATGGGTTTCTACCACTTGCCACCAAAAGAGGTCTGAATAGTATTTCAGGGAACTTGCCCAAGGTGACTAAGCAAATCAATGGTGCAGCTGGGGGATGAACACAACATTTGAGGAGTTTTGTTTGTTTGTTTTCATCCTCACTCAAGGACATTTTTTTGATATTTTGTTCAGATAGAGTAGATGGGGGAGAGAGAGAGAGAGAGAAACATTGACATGAAAGAGACACATCCAGTGGTTGCCACCCACACGACCCAACCAGGGCCGGGGACAAACTGCAACCAAGGTACGTGCCCTTAGCGGGAACCGAACCCAGGTCTCTCTGGACCACAGGCCAACGCTCTAACCACTGAGCCAAACTGGCCAGGGCCAAACACAACATTGAATACAACATTTAATTTCTTTCAGAATACACTGCTCTGTTTTTTGAAGACACTAATTTGGTCAATAATGAGATGGCATTAATACTAGCTTTCATAACTTCACAAACCCCCTCTGTGCCAGGTGCTGTCAACCCCAGGTGGGAACAGGGGCAGGCACTGGGCCTCTTACCTTCCTCTCCGCTGTCCCCCCGGTCCCCATCCTGGCCGTCCTGGCCATCTTTGCCAGGAAAGCCCATCCTTCCCACCATTCCGGAGGGCCCTGGGACTCCTGGGGGGCCGGGTGGGCCCTGGGGGCCAGGTAGGCTGCAGACAAGTTGAGGGGAGCCCTTCTGGGAATCCTTGTGGGCGAAGGCACCCAGCAGAGGGTCGGCCGCACAAGGGAGTGCACAGGCCAGGAGCACCCAGGGGATCATGGTGGTCACCTGTGGGAGGCAAGAGAGCTGTGAGTGGGTGAGTCCCGCCACTGAGCTGACTGGTGGTCAGTCCGAAAGGCATCCAGGGGAGGAGGAGGAGGCAGCTGGGAGACTCAGTATATCTGTCTCCTGCTCTCTCTTATGTCACATATGAGTAGCTAGACAATGTCATCATATCCTTAGCATATATAATGAGCTGAGTCGTGGGCCCAGCATATATACTTTGGAGGGTTCTTGGGGTACAGCACTTATCATTATACCACTGTCCTCTGGAGTAGCAGGACTTATGACCCAGTGATCCATGGTTTCATTCAAATATGTGGCACAAATGGAAAGCGACAAGGGCGACACTTCGAATTGTCGGTGATGATCTGCACTAGGCTGCGTCTCCCAGGGCGCAGGTGAGGAGGGGTGAGGCTTCAGTGCTGAGTAACGGGGCCCCAACCCTGAGCGGGCCACGGTAGCACCTCCTCTGCCAAGTGCTTCCTGGTGCGGGCTCGTGCTCAGAGCTTTCCATCATCACTGAGCCCGCACACATCCCGACGCAGGAGGGGCAGGTGGGGAAACGAAGGCCCAGAGCAGTTCACGACATGCCTAAGTCATGCAATTAGCAGGAGGCAGGGCTGGGGTGTGAACCAGGCCAGGTAGATCCAGAGCATCTGCCCTCCTGTCCCAGGCTACACTGTGTGCACCTCCCCCCCATTTTCTAAGTTAGAAATATCAATTGAAATAATACACTCACAATGTATATCAAGTTAAATAGTTTTATAAGGCTTATAATGAAAAACTGTGATCTTAAACCCACCCTTATCTCCAAACCCCGCCCACTCCAAACTTCATTGGCTAGTTCTCCTGGTATTTACTTCCATCAAAAGATAATATGCCACCCGGCCAGTGTGGCTCAGTGGTTGAGCATCGACTCATGACCCAAGAGGTCACCAGTTCAATTCCCAGTCAGGGCACATGCCAGGTTGTGGGCTCGATCCCCAGTGCAGGACATGTAGGGGTGGCCAGTTGATGTTCTCTCTCATCGATGTTTCTATCTCTCTCTACCTCTCCCTCCTCTCTCTCTAAAATCAATAAAGAAAAAAAATTTTAAAAAAGATAATGTGCCTACTCTGATTCTTTTGATCAATTTTAGACACTATGTTTTGAACCCTACTATAAAACATGAGGATTCAGCCCTCTTTCAACACTCTAGGCTCCTATTTCCCTGGTGTAGTTCAAATGTAACTTTTGACTTAATCAAAAAGTATTGCTTACTGCTAAGCTAAGCACTGTACGATACTTCTACTGCCTGTATGCACATACTTTTCTTACTGGAGATAGTCATAATTTTATTCTTTCATTTGCTTAGTTCTCTATGTTATAATTTTCTACATTATCAAATACATCAGATAACTGATAGTTCCATTTATTTCCCTGAAGGTGGTAAGTCCTGGAACATTCTCCTGTTCTAGTCCTTAGACAGTGCTCACCCCAGGGGTACCTTTATAATCAGCGTAGCCTCTCTTTGCTCTCTCCTGTGTTCTACGTCCTCTCTTACAAATCCTGTGTCTTTCTCTTTGTAAAAACTATTATTTTTTATTTCCTCCTGTTGGTGGCACAAATCCTGTAATAGCTCCCTGGAAAAGGCGTGTGGAAAGTAAATTTTTTTTGGAGATTCTGCAAATCTCAATATGTCTTCATTTGACACTGTCCTTAAGGCTGGTGGCCTTACTGTTGATAGTACCAGCTATCAACAAATTGGCTCAGTCACTTTGCAAAAAATAGCCTTTCTCCAAAGAAGGTGACCAGAGGGGGGACATTCCAGATCTGGCTTCCTGCCACGGGATGAGTTCCAAAGTGGTAATTTGTTTTGTGATTTTAAGTAAGCCCTTTTCCCTCTCTGGGCCTCGGTTTCCTCACCTGAACAATAAGGGGTCGGTTCCCACACACAAGCGCGTACCATCGGACTCTCCTGGGGGCTTGTTCAAAGCCAGATTGCTGGGCCCCACCCCCAGAGTTGACGACGGACTTGGATTTGCCTTATTGAGTATCTGAGCGCTGCTGCTGGTGCTGCTCCAGGAACTCACTTTGAGAACCACTAGCCTAGATGGTCTCCAGGGTTCCCTCCCTTCTGCTGCTGAGCTTTGTACAGTCCAATCTCCTCTCTCTGCAGATGCAAGGCCTTGCTGGTGTCGCTGGTTCTTGCACAGCCTTTGGCTCTGGTGCCGGAGCAGGGCGGGGACAGCGCTCAGGCCGTGGCCCCTGCAGCTGGCACTTCCCTCCTGGCTCTTCCCCCTCTGCTGCACGCCCCTCTCTGCCCTGGCCCTGGAGCCGGCCAGACCCCTGCATGCTGGCTGACCGCACCTCTCTTCCTCGCCCCTCAGAATCCTTGGCCCCGGGAACAGAGGAATGGGAGGGAAAAGCAGGCCCCTCTGACCAGGGAGAGGAGGCGGCCCAGCTCTGCACTAACCTGGGGCTTGGGACCTGTTCCAGTTTCAGCTCCCATGCGCATCGACAGTGGGACTTTGGGCAAATCACTTTCCTTTTCTGAATCTTAGCCGGTTTCTCTAGGTAAGTGTCATAGAGGTGCCCCTGGCCAGGGAGAGGCGATTCAGTACCAGATAGTGCTCTAAATAACATTACATACTATAGTAGAGTAAGTTGTTTTCTTTCCAGTTTCTTCTATCCTGATTACGTGCAGAACGAACAGTTCTGGTTTGGTGACAGGGTAACCCCCTCCCCCCGCCCCATAGCCCTTTTAAACAAAGGGCACTGTCTGTAACAGTGCGCACCCATTCTTTTTTTTAATCCTCACCCGAGGACATTTTTTCCATTTTTTGTTCAGATAGAGTGGGAGGGAGAGAGAGAGAGAAACATCGAAGTGAAAGGGTCACACCCACACGACTCAACCAGGGCCGGGGACAAACTGCAACCGAGGTACGTGCCCTTAGCGGGAACCGAACCCGGGTCTCTCTGGACCGCAGGCTGACACTCTAACCGCTGAGCCAAACTGGCCAGGGCATGCGCACCCATTCCTAAGGAATCTTGGTCTAGCCCCCACAAGGCCTGCAGACCCTGGAGACCCCTGGACAGGAACGCGGGGCCCTGTGGCAGAGCCTCTGCTGAGATGCAAGGACGTGCAGACAGACGTGGACAGAGGCCCGCGTGAGCTCTGGGTACCTAGTCCCTGGGGGATGATGCAAAGACAGATGTAGTGGGTGAGTGAGTGTAAGAGGGTTCAAACCAAACTTTCTGCCTGGGCCCCAGGGCAGGAGAGGCTGCATTCTAGACTAAGGGGTCAGGCCAAAGTGAAGAGTGGACAAAGAACGGCTTGAGAGCTCATTGCATGACTCCTGGCACTGGTTAGATCAAGACTTTTAAAATGTGACCCCTCCTCTCCCCCAACCACAGAGACGGGTAGGAAGACTGAACATGCACCTGAGGCCAGGCCTGCAGTGAGAAAGGGAGACTGGGTGGGAAGGGAGAGAGCTCACGGCTTCCGATGGGAAGGGACCAACTGCCCTGCCTTCCTGCCCTTCTCTCTCTCTCTCTCTCTCTCTCTCTCTCTCTCTCTCTCTCTCTCTCGTCTCTCTCGGAGATGGAGAGCACCGGGCATTCCACAGCAGGAGCTGCCTGGGCAGAGGGATGCTGACAGGTGAGGCGGCGGTGATGATCGTGCAGGGTCCGCCCCAGAACACCAGAAGTCAAAGGTGAGGCCCGGCCTTGGCGGAGACAGGAAAGTGTGTGAGGCCGGCTTCAGGGCCATTCAGTGATGGGGTACAATATGGGAACCCCAAGGAGCCAGCTTCAATAGCAGCCAGGCCCAGAGAGGCAGAGAATCTAGTTCCTGTCCCCGGCAGGAAATGTGTCAGACCCTCCTGCTGTCTGTCCCTTTACCTCTCCTTTCAGCCTGGAAAGAGGTGAGGAAGGGGGCTGATGGCTCTGCCAGCCTCTCACCTCTGTGGGCGGGGAGACTCACTTTTAAATGAAGATCGAAGAGCAGATTACCTGGGAGTGGATGACCAGGGGGAGGGAGCTCCCTCACTGGCTGAATTATAAAGGGAGAGGGAAGCAAAACCAAAGCGGCAGTTGGATGTGCCTGGTGTGGGCTGCTCACCGTGGGTGGCATCAGCGAGCCTAGAGGCAGACGGGGCAAATGTGGTGGAAGTGTTACATGCATGATGTGCTTTTGGAAAACGGTGCCCTAGATACTCCCCAGGCCCCAGGATCTCCATCTCTTCCCGTGCTGACTTGCTGAGAGTCTGGGGAAATGGGGCGGGTGACTTGTGAGCTGCGATGCATCTGGGCTCCCAGAAGAGGAACGGAATTGTTCAGGCAGATCGGGAGGGGGAGGGAGGAAGAGGCAGGTGAGAGTCCAGGGAACAGCTGGATGAAGACAGGCAGGGGGGAGCCCTGGGCTTGTTAGCGATCCCCTGTCTCTCTGACCTCGACTCTCAGCCACACATGCTGGGCAAGAGGAGGGCCTGCCATCCAGGTCTGCCAGCACCAGCCTTCTTACTGCAGGGACAGCGCTCGGTGACGGTGGCCAGGCAGGCCCAGTGTCAGGGCGGAGGAGCAGGGTTCTGGAACACGCAGGAAGCAAGGGATTTCTCGGAGCTGGAGCCCGGAGGTTCCCGCAGCCTGAGCCAGGAACTGTTTTGGAAATAAAGGCGGGGTGACTAGATTCTGGTTCCAAACCTAGAGGGAGGGAGAGGACAGTCTCCCTGGCCCCAGGGCACCTCCAAGAAAAACAAGGCTACAAATAGCCCAGCTCCCTGCCTCTGCGCTCACCCGCCCCCACCCTCCGGGTCTGGCCCCCTAGTCTACTCTCCATACCAAAGTAGTGAGAAAAACTGGGGGTGGGGTACCATGGCCCCTAGTAATCCAAACAGGTTAACGCTTCCAAGGTCTTTCAAAATTTTTTTTCTTTATTGATTTTAGAGAGAGAGGAAGGGAGAGGGAGAGAGATAGAAACATTGATGAGAAAGAATGTCGACTGGCCACCTCCTGCATGCCCCCCA